GTTTTAAAAATGGCGGTTCCCCACTTATGCAAATGAAGCCCGGGAAATTCAAATCCCGGGCTTCATTTGCAAGTGCGGTATGCCTACATTACCCCGCTAGTTCGAACTAGCGGGGTAGTGTAGACATACCCCAAGATACAAGGTTTCTATGTATAAAGGCTTAATACAAAGTTTCTATGTTCTGTAAAAGTATACAAAGTTTCTATAAAAAGACTTAATACAACAAACTACTGTAAATACTTATTGCAAAACTAAAAGGACTTGATACAAAGTTAAAATAAAAAAAATGAGAAAATGATTAATACAGAGATTAATGAGATTTACCTACAGTTTCATTGGTATGGAGGGGGCTGAGGTGCCTGATCTGGGGAAGGTGTGTTGTATTGGAATGGGGGGTACCTGTCTCTGGGCAGGGGTGAGTGTATTGGGGTTACTTATTTTTTTAAATAAAAGATACTTTATAACAAAAGGAAAAACTTAAAAAACAATAATCTGGTAGCACTTTAAAGACTAACAAATGTAGATCATGCATATCAGTTCACTGTAGCTAAGGCAAGAAAAATTAAACTTACTTAACAAAAGTTTTTAAATGTAATGCCTTGTTGCTTCTGGTGTTGAATGCGTATATGACTTTTCAGTCCAACGTTTCATCCAGCTTACTCCAGACATCAAGATAGTTCTGCTCTGATCTACTAACTGATCTTCTAATTGATCTAAGGATCTGTGGCTATTAGTAGAGTTTGTGATTTTTTTTCTTATGTTCTTATTTTTTTGCTGACTTAGAAATAATAACAGATCCACAGTAACAAATGATTGGGGAGGCGCAAATTTGGCCTTTGCCCCTGGGCGCAAAACATCCTCGCTATGCCTCTGCCTCTAGGCTTGGCTTAGACCAATCACAAAAAACAAATAAAGCTGTTGGCTGGGCCAGAGAAGACGCACACTCTGGGGAAAGATAATGAAGCTCTTCATGAGTGCAGGTTAAATTTATAACAGAAACAGATTTTTTTCAGACAGATGGGAAGCTCTTAATGAGGAGTTCTGCTCTTGCCTCTCAAGCTGTGCCTGTCTGGGATGTCACCAGGAATAATACACTGTGTTTCCTAATAGCAGGGTAGGAGAGCAATGATAATAGGGTAGCAGGACAGGAAGCATTTGATATTAAACATACCTTTTTGGCATCCTGAAAGCTTTGTCATGTCTGCAGACAGAAAGAGATTCGTTGGTTTATTATTTTAACATGAAGCAGCATGCAGTCCTGTTAATGAGCAAATTAACTCTTTCAGGAAATGTAAAACAAGAAAGCTGTACAGAACAGTTCCAGCTGATGAAAGCTGGCACTGCTTTAGGTCTGAGGCAGGCAGTCTAGTGCAGTGGTCTCCAACCTTTTATGCCCAAGATCACTTTTTGAATTTAAGGGCAACCAGGATCTACTCTGTCCCTTCCCTGACACACCATTGTATTATGGTGATGGTGACAGCTTTTCTAACTGCCAGCACTTCAAACTCTGCAAGGGCTTTTCAAAACCAGCTGCCTCTGTAGTTTAAATCACCAAGTATAAAGAATGTAGCTGATAATTTTGTTGCAGGTGTATGAGCTAAAATAGTAGCCTAGTCTCTCTGATAGCTGTGAGGCTCTACAGTGCAAACAGAGGAAAACATAGACTTTATTTTTATGTTACTAGATATAGCTCAAGAAAATAAAGGGCTAGAATGTGCCTAACCCCATACCAGAGTGCAGGGATAGATTCAGCATTATCTAATCTACCTCTGTTAGGGTCTTCTAAGGTGCCTGTCACCATATTAAAGGGCTTGAGAACTTTAGTATGATAATTGGTCCTAAAAATCCATGTGAAGCAGAGAGTGGCAGCACTGGGTGCAGAGTATTGGAGGATGTATACTGCACCCTGTTAAGCGATGTAGCACTCCTCTGTCTACTCTCACAGCACTTCCAGGGCACGTCTAGACTACCCTTGGCTTCCGAAAGAAGATATGCAAATTTGCGCCAAAAAATGAGGTTTACAGGGTTCTTTCAAAAAAGGAGGGGTTGCATGAAAAACCCCATCTAGACTGCTTTTTTTTAAAGAAAAAAACTCTTCTGAAAAAGGGATCAAAAGAAGATACGCAAATTTGCACCAAATTTGTATAACTTCTTTCAGAAGCTGAGGGTAGTCTAGACGTGCCCCCAGAGACATGCTTGTCTCAGGAACAACGCCACTGGCAGCTAGTGTTAGCGTGTGGCCCCCCAGAGACATGCTTGTCTCAGGAACAATGCCATTGGCAGCTAGTGTTAGCGTTTTTCTCAGCCTCCACTTACACAACCCAGGCAGAAGCTTTCAGTCCTAGTTTAGTTCTTACTCAGAGGGCACATCTACACAGCAGGGCTAAAGTCGAATTAAGATAAGCCACTTCAGCCACATCAATTGCATAGCTGAAGTTCAAATAGCTTAATTTGGCTTTTGGTGCTGTCTACACAGCAGGAAGTCAAAGGAAGAACATTCTTCCTTCAACTTCCCTTACTCCTTGTAAAATGAGGGTTACCGGAGTTGGAGTAAGAAGTCCTCCATCTCAATGTTATTTTAAAATAATGGCTCGCTGTGTATATGTTTTTACAATGGTTTTTGTGACTATATCCATACCTCAAGAGAGCCTGTAACCTGCTGTGTCCTGGCACCCCTGTTCTAAGGGAATATTCCTTCTACCAGAAAGGAAACCCTGGCAGCTGTTTGGATTTTCTAACACTGATAGCTGCACAGGATGAAATGCACTGAAATACTTAAGAACCAAAGAGTGTTGGGGTGCTTCTTAAGATATACCAGAAGAAAATATGGAAACTGTAAAATATGAGCTTGATTAGATTAAATGTCTTGATCTCAGTTTGAGGAATGCTGGCTTTATGTAATGACTAATGAGAATGCAGTTAAACCCAAACCAATGTTTTTCTTACTTTCAATTTGCTAAAAATTTCAAAACACTTTCATGTTGATCTGAAACAATTGGTTTCCCAGTTTTTCAAGCTTGCCAGTAAAACAAACTACCTATTATTTGCACAGCTCTTCTCTCAATCTTTCTTAGAGTTTTGTGGTGTGCTGGGAAGGGAAACTGTTGTATCAGAGAGGTGATGCAGCTGGAGATGGGAACCAGGGCTCTACCAGCTCCTCTTCTGCTTTGGGGCACTAAGCATCCCCACAGCACATGGAGTGAGTAGTGCTACTGTCTGTGGCCCTTGCATAGGACATACAAGCAGTTCCTAGCCCCTGCCCCACCCAGATTCACCACATACTTTGGGTATGTCTACACTACCACCCTAGTTCGAACTAGGGTGGTAGAGTAGACATACCCAAAGTATGTGGTGAATCTGGGTGGGGCAGGGGCTAGGAACTGCTTGTATGTCCTATGCAAGGGCCACAGACAGTAGCACTACTCACTCCATGTGCTGTGGGGATGCTTAGTGCCCCAAAGCAGAAGAGGAGCTGGTAGAGCCCTGGTTCCCATCTCCAGCTGCATCACCTCTCTGATACAACAGTTTCCCTTCCCAGCACACCACAAAACTCTAAGAAAGATTGAGAGAAGAGCTGTGCAAATAATAGGTAGTTTGTTTTACTGGCAAGCTTGAAAAACTGGGAAACCAATTGTTTCAGATCAACATGAAAGTGTTTTGAAATTTTTAGCAAATTGAAAGTAAGAAAAACATTGGTTTGGGTTTAACTGCATTTTTCATTTGACCTGAAAGGAAACGTTTGGTTAGATTTCAATCAATTTTTAACAGTTTTAATTCTGTGAAAATAAAATTAAAGAAAATTTCAAAATGAAAAGTCAGCTTGTAAAAAAATTGCAATGCTTTATTTAGAAAATGTCAAACAAAACATTTTTGATTTTTCAGAATTGTTAGGGTTTTTCCCTTCAATTGAAACAATTCAATTAAATTGATATCAGTTTGTGAAATATTTTGATGTCACCGAATTTGCTTTTTTCAACAAAAAGTTTTAGGAGAAAATGTTGTCCAGCTGTAATTGTGAATAACTCTGGGTATGTTTAGACTACATGGCTCTGTCGACGGAGTCATGTAGATGAGTTTACTAGACATAGGAAAATGAAGCGGCGATTCAAATAATCACTGCTACATTTACATCAAAATGGCCCCCACGCTGTGCCGATCAGCTGTTTGGTGGCACAGCACGGTAGTCTGGACACGCTGCGGTCAACAAGGGAAGCCCTTGTTGACCGCTCTGTTATGCCTCGTGAAATGAGGTTTACTGGAGCGGTCGACAAAGGCTTCCCTTGTTGACCGTGGCATGTCCAGACTACCGTGCTGTGCCGCCAATAGATGAAGCGGCGATTATTTAAATCGCCACTTCATTTTCCTATGTCTAGTAAACTAATCTACGTGGCTCTGTCGACGGAGCCATGTAGTCTAGACACACCCTCAGTGATGTACATAGACTTTGGCTTACCTGACCGTTACAATGTGGTGCTGCACTGGTCGTGACTGCTGCTTGTCATGTGACCACTGTTTCCATTGACTTTCAGAGGTTTCGTGATGGGTAGCTGGTAAAGAATCCACACTAGAATGGTGGGAGCACAAAGTGGCCCTCTCTCCATGCCCTGGAAGTGGAGGCAAGGCGTAGCTGTCTCTGGACTCTTGCTGGTTGCAATGGTAATATAGGTCATGTTGATGTGAGTCCTGGGAGCTGGATGGCACCTGACCATTGGAGTGAACAGAGATTGGTCCAAGCATGCGGCTGGAAGAAGGCAGATGACCTCTCACCATGCTGGGAGATGCAGGG